AGACTATGTTGGATGTAGGAATTAATGGGGCTTTTACTTAAAAAAATTACTGAAAAGTTGGTACTCAGTACGCACTTATATTTTAGAAGTTGTAATTAGCAATTTATTAACATTATCATTAACAATATCTTAAGTTATTTAATAGGTAAAGATTTTCGTATTATATTTACCTAACTTTCTTAGCTTCTTGACCTGACATCTCACGTAGCTTTGTGCTGATGACGCCCTCTAGTGCTGAGCTGTGAATCCTGACGGCACGCGGCTGCAGCTTGCACCTGTACATAAGACATCAGATAATAGGGTGAATGCAATCGATTTTAGACTATATAGCGCCTGTAGAAATATAATAGCAAATGTGAATAAGCGTAATAAATCTTATCTGCACCCACCTCACCATTAACTCTTGATCGGAGGACTGCTGCAGCTGGCGGTCCATTTGTATGACCAGCTCCACTGTATAGTACAGGTCCTCGTTATCATCAGGCTCTTCCACAGTCGAGTTGATAGTAGATGTACGGACACCGCAGGCGTTTGACGGTAGATTTAATGACACTTTCTTCTGTAATTTTCCTGAAATATTTTGTCATATAAGTCTAAGGACTTCAGATAAGACTTAAGTCTTAGGAAGCTTAGTTTTAAAGGTAAAAAAATAGAGTTATTGCTTTACCTTGTGCTCGACACTCTCTCGAGAAGTCTTTACTGAACACAAGTCCTTTAAACGGCTGGTCCATAATGATGTGCACAGCCATAGAGCTCTTGTCGCACGTGGTCGCTACATCGATGACTTTATTGGCCGCCTGCACGCTCCCGGCCGCTATCAGCCATATAACCACCGCCCACAACATAGCCACAGACCCTGGAAGGTATAAAATACTTTTAAAACACCCATCTAACTATATTTTTTAATAATTTGCTATTGGAGACAGAATCTTTAACATATTTCTGAAATAACTTTTTCCCAAAAGATTCTCTATTTCAGAAAGTCAAAGACGCCTCTAATCCTTTAAGGTAAAAAAGAGTAATACCTATAATATTTCTAGTAATTATTATGAACTATTTCAATGATGAATCACATCTTCAAGTTTCCTTTGGCAATAATTTTTTTACACGAAGATTTTGAGGTTAAGCTTGCGGTCAATTCATTTGAAATGGCGGCAAATGATAGAAAATAGGTTTTATTATTGTTCATTTTATATTAGAATCTGCTAGTAATTGTTTTCTATTAGTTTGTTTCGATATAGAAATTACTTTTATAAGATTAATTCTTGCCATTTTCGCTTGACTATCTTATTTCAAGATAATGACTTTCCATTATTTTATTATGATTTTTAGTAATTCTATATTCTTATATATTCTATATATTATATATTCTTATATATTATATATTCTATATTCTTCTATATTCTACATTACATGTCTAAAAATGGATCTTGATACTTTAAAATAATGTTAGAGCATGTAATAATAACAAGGTCCGCTTTACGTCTAATTTACCGTTGTATGTTGTTTCGTTTCAAGCAATCTCTGATATTCCACTTCGATTAGCGTTACTTTGTACAATTAAACAGCTTATTGTCGGACAAAGCAGACCTTTGTTAAATTTAAATCCTGCTGCATTAAAGGCTATTCAAATTTTGAAGTTTTTCTGATATTACTTTCGTGTAAATTGTTAAAAATCTAACTTTTTTATGTCGAGAAATGTTTGCAATAGTTTTAAATTATCTCTGTTACTGTGTGAAGAATACAGGGTTTTGTTTTGTTACGATTCGTTCTCAAGCTAACGACAGATTTCTCCTATTTTTATCGGATGTTCTAATTAAAATCAATTGAAGCGTTCCTTTTTACGCTATATTGATTTTTCCATATAATATGATATGATATGCATGTTACAGTAAATAAAAGTGTAAATGAGTAATCATAATAATTTTATATAGACGCTAAAAATTAAAAAAAAGCAGTCTGTAAAAAGTCTGTTTTTCAAACAAAGTTCACTTACGAGTAAATACCCAGTTTCCCATTATAATTAGAAATGTATATATAAACAGTTACAGAGTTACGCAATCGTTAATTACTCTTAATTAATAGATACTGTAAATGCCAGTTCCAGACGCGTGCGAAAGGATTGCAAAGAATGTGGCCCTGCAGCGGCTTATGAGATAACGCCTCAGTAGCGGAGAAATCTAAACGTAGTTTTTCACTAGTGTAACACAAGAATGAAGGTGTCTCTCGTTATAAAAGAGATTGAAAAGAAAAACGATATGTTTTTGTTGCAATGGAAAACAACAGTTACATTAGGAAGCTTTAAAATGTTTTATCTATGTTCTCTAAGCGGATGCGATATTACTTTTGGCTTATTAATTATCATAACCTTAAAATGTTGACACACATTTAATGTAACTGTATTTCATTTAATTATTACAATCAAAACATTAATATCAACGTTCGGAAATCAATTAACATTCAATAAAATTTCATAAAAAAATAGTGAAAGTCCGCTCCATCTTGTTGCGTGTGCTTTGATTTGGTCGATTAAAAAAACTCATCCGTTTCGGTTTTACGGCACAGATAAGATTAAATACCATAGATAGGTGGACTAGTAACCGAAATACAGATACAAATAACCGAATTAACCGACTTTGATTGTTCCAAATCGAAAGGGTGTACCAAATTAGAATGAGTTAGAACATTTAATCATTTTTTAATCTGTAATTTCGATTTATTTACTAATAGCTGTTCCTGTGCGACTTCATTCGCATGAAATTATGAAAATTTTATTACATTGTTTACATGTGTCAAATTATCAATTGCAAATGTCAAAGATGATCAGAATGTCATGATATGACATTATGACAAACCTTGGCAATCTTGCTTCCTTGATGTTGGCAGCGACTTATGGTCTCTTTCCCACATTAGGGTTTTTATCCAAAAATTTACTCCTTAAGTTTAATGGCGTAAAATATACAGCCTAAAGCGTAATGTAAGTGTAGGGCTTTTTATTAAAAAGGGAATTATTCAAATATATGCTGTAATTGCTAACATCTTAGGCAACAAAGAAGTGTGTGTTTACGCTTTATTATAATAGTATAGATATACATATAGATAAGTATAGATATAGATGGACGCTATTAACAAAATACGTCGTGCGAGTTCTACGTATCCGAATTTTAAAAAATAATTTTCGAGGAATTAAAATGATTGTTTTTATAGTTATTAATCTTTTATCTATAAGATAAATTCTATCAAAAAACATCGTAAATTAACCATTTATCACGTTGTCTTAAGTACACGTCAGTCATATTTATAGCTTGGATTGCGACTAAGTTATTTTACTGTAGGTCAGGATATTGAATGCATTTATAACGTTGGAATATACTAAGTCAGAGAAAGTTGTAGCAAAGTTTACCCTTTACGATTTATCAAGTAAGGTTCCAATCTCGGAGTGGATTATAATGGCAACGATTAGGGTCATCCCATTTCTATACAATATACATTTTGTGTCACTTATACTAAATTTCGACGATAGCTTTGTCAGTTATTTTGACTTTTCACAAAACACATTCATTTTATGAGGGCAAAAAACATTACAAGAACAAAACTTTAGCATACACAAAAAGAATTTTTTAACATAAGGTGGTAAACTAGCATGCGGCCACCTGAATCCGCCCAAATGACAAAGTGCCTCCTTAACTGACAGACGAGACGGAAATAAATAGGATATATTCCCTTCTGTGCGTCCCATCCGCTGTCAAATCCATTTTTTCTTCCCATCCTTATCTCTTAAGAAAAGGGTGAAAAAGAAAAGGGACTAAAATTAGGCTAATTATTTAAAAACTAGCTTTTCCCATGCGATTTCATCAGCATAAAATTATTTTATGGTTTACATGTGTCAAATTGTCAATTGCAAATGTCAAAATGACATGACATGACAATCTTGCTTCCTTGATGTTGGCAGCAACTTATGGTCTCTTTCCCCTATAAGGGTTTTTATCCAAAATATTTACCCCCTAAGTTTGATGGCGTAAAAATATATAGCCTAAAGCGTGACCTAAGTATAGGGCTTTTTATTAAAAAAAAGAGTTATTCAAAAATCAGTTGTGATTGCTGACATTTTAAGCAACAACGATGTGTGTGTTTACGCTTTATTATAATAGTATAGATTTAAATCATCTCTGAACTAAAAATGAAATAAATACCATCAGTAACGGATATGTAATGTAGAAATTGCTTAAGTGTTAAGGATCTAGTATACTTCTTAGCAATTATACTAACTATTTAATAATACTCTGGTGAGTATATTATTATTTAATTTATGGCCGGTCGTCAAGTTTTAATTTAATTACCACCTATAATCCTACAAGTTTTATTGTGAAGTGCAAAAGCTTTTAACCACAGGTTATTGCTCTCTAGAATTACGTTTTATACTTAAATCTATTTTTTATTATACTTATCTGGTAACTAAGATGCGATAATCTTATCTTACTTCTTACTAATATTATAAATGCGAAAGTTTAGATGGATGGATAGATGGATGGATGGATGGATGGATGTTTGTTAGCGTTTGTACCCTAAACGGCTGAACCGATCTCCATGAAATTTGGCACAGGTTTAGAGCATAGTCTGGAAGAACACATAGTCTACTTTTTATCCCGGGAATAGTTACGGTTCCCGTGGGATTCATTAATTTAGTTTTTTAATGTTCACTCGATCTTTCTGCAACGGTTCAACATATCTTATTGAAATTTGGCAAAGATATAAAACAAAGTCTGGAGTACACATGAGATAAGCTTTATCCCAGAGAAATGTCCGGTTCCCGAGGGATACGTAGCTTTTTGTAATTTATATAGTTCGTATGTTTTCTAATACCACGCGGACGAAGTCGCGGGCAACAACTCGTGGTTACTAAAGCGAAAAATGCTTAGAAAAATGTTCTACAAATATACAAGTTGTTGAATTCAAGGTATCTTTCATATGCGACCGTAATTCATCGAAGTTGCAACTTTTTGTATTCAAGAGGAATTACGATGTTTTTTACGAAGATGACAAGGAAAAGTACGAAGAGATTCCTGAGACTGCGACGTCATTACAATAGCTATTGTGTTTTGATATTATGTTCTCATGCTGACTTGTAGAAGTAAATTAATTAAAGCAGCAACTCCCATATTTTTCTAAACAAATTAGGATATGTTAAATGTTTTAGTAAGATTTAAAATAGAGACATTTTAAATAATAATAAATGCGAAAGTGTGTATGTTTTGATGGATGTTTGTACGAGTATTTAGGTATCTCCTAAGCAGCTGAACGTATCTCTATAAAATTTATATACTAAACATAGGCTACTTCAGATTTTAATTCCTTGCGCACAAAGACGCTCGCGGACAAAATCAATCAGATTCAAAATGATGTTAGCTTCCACTTTTAAGAAGTTACGACATTTCAAAATAAAGATGGACCGGAAATGTCTATATAATTTGGTTTATGTCTTCTACCGTTGAATGTTTTAGATGGCTTTGTTTTATTTTTCGTTCATCGAGTGTTCTATCGGCACCGTGTATCTATTCTGTTATCGAGTTGTCACATCACCACGCTCAACTTCCTTCTTTCATCTGTTTACTCCCTCTGCCCTCTGTACAGAATTTTAAAAAAATTAATGGTCTCAGCATTTCCGGCTAATGTTGTAGTAGTTGGGTAGACTTAGACCTAACATTTTTCAAGTTTATTCGCAATTAATAATAATCCTAATGACTTAATATTTGGGTTGGTAAATCTGTAAACGTTAGCGTAGTGAACTCATTAGCCGGGGAAGTAGTACGCGTCGCTCAGCCTCTGAACAGTTACGTGGGTTCCGTTAGCACATGT